CATCCTAACTTTTTTACTTAAATATATTTGCCCTGGCTTGGCATGTTCACATGTGTAATGTGGTGAGTCGATTAGCCGGTATCGGCATTGAGCAGTGAAGCTGTACGTCGTGATATTTGTTAGTTTGTTTTTGTTTTGCATTAACTATTCTGCAGTGTTTGTAACTCTTCGCTAATTCTTGTTATCACTACAAAATTTAATTAGCTCAATGTGCCCGAATATGTCGGTCTGTTTGTCGGTGATGGAATTTGTGACACTCGTCTCTCTAGACATTGAGGGTGGAGTCTATCTCTCCATTGAAGTGGTAATATGGGTTGAGCATTTCTACAATGGTATTGGTAAACATTATTCTAGAGATACCGATCAATGACTGTTTTTCAGTACAGCTTTTTTTCTGTAAGGCCTATTGTTAATTCAATTAATCGTCATCACTTTCAGGAAGTGACTATATAGAGAAAGAAGCTGATTCGGATGACGAGCTGGCTGTTGTTAGGAGGTTAGAGAGGAGCGAATTCGAAAGAAAGTGGGTCTTAGTTCTCAGAATATTTAACCGTATCTTTTACTTCGAAGATTTTCAGTTTTTAGAGCCAACCGTGAGAAGTGGTTCGATGACGAGGCTTCCCTTTCTGGTGATGATGTTGGAAGTGACCTAGATGAGGATGGGGACATCGCAGACGAATATGAGGCAGAAGAAGGTGTGCTTTCTATATGTTTACAGATTTTTGTTCTCTATATATTTTACTTCAGGAGACAATGATGATGTCCCTGATTCTGATGTAATAAGAAGGCAAAACCACAAACTTTTACTAAAGCAAGAAAAGGATCGTGAACATAAGGAACTGGTAAAGCTGCAAGACAGGTGCGTTTTCAGTTGCATTGCGGGTGCTCTTTTCAAAATATTTTTGCGGTAAGTGCGATCACCCAGTTAAACATCAACCATTCAAGGTTGCTCGCCGATGGTGATTTGGGTGGATCTGAAACCAATAGGACTTTCCGATTGAAGCTACGAGAAGACGTAACTACCGTGGAAGGTATGGAAGACGATGGTGAAGCGCTAGAGGAAGAACAGGATGACGGGGCTTCCCAAGCTCATGCTCGAAGAGTTGAGGCTATCAAATGGCTTATGGAACACGTAGGTGTTGCCTTGATATAATACATTAACTATTTTTTGATAATGAATTTTGTCGTAATTCCTCTGTCTTTTTCGAATCAGGTATTTTTTGCGGATGAGCTATGCTTCGAAAAATGCTAATTTTGGCTGAAAGTTGAATTTGAACTGACTTTCTCCTACCTCCATTTATCGTTTTTCCTTTTTTTAAGGGAGAATTGGGCAAAGAATCGGACGATAAGGAAGAGGAAGATATATTCGATATTGCTGCACGTTCGGTACATATATCCACTGAAGTTTCGGAGACTATCGTCTCTAAGGTGCCTCGGTCTCTAATTGGACAGCCTGGCCTTGCAAATGCAATTAAAGAAGTTGCAGGTTGGTTTGCTGTTTGGAAGATTAGGGGCAAGGGTGAAATGGCTGATCAGGACGTGAATTCATTGTGCTGACGATTGGCAGGATTTGTTTGTAGTGCAGTCAAAGCAAAGCAACCCGAATTACCAGTAGTCAAAGCTATTTTTTAGGTGTTTCGAGTGCAAAACAACTCTACGTTAGTAACTCATCTACAGACCGAAAAAGACCGTCTACCCCTCCCATGCTGTCGGTCAAGAAAAGCAAGACGATGGTCAGCGTCATAAGCGTTTTAGAACATTCTTAAACCTCTGGATCCGTGTGAATACGAGTTTCTGTTCTCACTTAGTTAACATTTCCTCACATTTTCAAAGATCTTGTTATATTGTGATTCTTCTCGTGACCTCGTTTGATACATCAGCTTTGCGCCATCCCTTTATTCACTAGTTTTTTTAAGGTCTCTTATAAGCGCCATCCCTTTTTTGACTAGTTTTTATTTTTAAGGTCTCTCATTAACAGGAACCATGACATCATATTATGTTTGTTATCTCATTAACTGGATTTCCTTTGGTCACTCAATCAGAAATCTACTTAATTATTGCTGTAAGGTATTCTTATGCTTGAAATTGACATTTTCTGAAGACAAATTTCGGTATTAGCATAAAGATTCGACTATGATTTAAGTGATTGAAGTCAAGCATGTTGGTCATCGCATACCTTCTGCTTTGTTGCTCTTTAAAAGATTCGTACTGAGAAAGTTTTTTTTTTGAAGCGATGGTGATACTGCCGCGTGCATTGGCACGGTTTTGTCAAGGATCAGCCCATATTGCACGTATGAAGGTTCCGGGGCGATGGTATGCTGCTGCTGTAGGAGCCAAGGTGGTCCCTGGAAAGATTGATAAAAGTGTTATTGAAGAAGACGCTGAAAAGCTCTGCAAATACGTCTGTATAAACTACTTCATTCAAGGTTTGGCTTTGCTCATTTTGAGTTCCCGTGCTGGAGTAGCTCAAGCTTGCTCCTTCATATTTATATATTTGTTCGTATACGGGATTGTCGCCTAAACTTTATTGGACGAGCAATGTGCGCTTAAGTATTTATACCGAAATGGATTTCTTCCATTCTTCTTGAAAATTTCTTCCAGAAATTATCTTAGAACAAGCGTATTTGCTAAACAAAGGGAAATTTCATATGGAAGGAAAGAAATTGGTGATTGACAATAAGAAGTGAAGTGATTGTAATGGAGTAGGAATTTTGTGTTTTCTCGGATGCCCATGGTAATATCATAAGATCGCTCGCTTTACGTCGGGGTCTTTTCGTTTTGCGGGAAGTTTGATACACCTGGCCAACATGGACCATCCTCTTTCCATTGCTTATTGGTCATCACTTCCACTCACAGTTATAGGAGGTGGCATGGCAGCAATCAGTGCACAACATCTTTGACATAAAAGTGAGATAGTTGGTATTGATTGTTTGATAATGCTTACGCCTAAGACTGTTAGATGTCGTTGCGTTGCTTCTGATCTCCAAAATATTAATTACCTTCAAGAAAGTCATTTGCTCTCTTTTCTGTTTGCTTGCTCGGCGGAATTTTTGCGGCTTTCTGTGGCTTAGTCAATCGAGGACCAAAACGGTGCATACTAATTTTTCTACGATTGGCACAATACTAACAATAGTCAGGTCGTAGTTATCCAGTACTAATATTATATGTAGTTGCACCGACATACACATACGCCGGCATACGCTCCTTTACTAGGCCATATGTAGAAGTATATATGTGTAATCTTACTGTATAATTGGCTGTATGTGTGTGTGTGTGACCGAAAGTCC